TGATGAGTGTTGGTGGCTTGCAGGAGAGAACTACCCACCAGGCATTGTCGGGTGTTGAGATGGTTTCCGGTGGTCCTCTGCAGGATATTCTTGGGACTGTTGCACGCATTTATTTGAAACGCCCCCAAATGTACAGTTCCAGGCAGGGTGCAGCCCCAGCAAGCCAGCATTCTTGCTAAGAGCCTTGCGCCTGTGCCAGGTGCATCTACCCATGCTGGTGTTTAAAAGTTGCTTCCTGAAAGCTCTGGTTTTCTGAGTATAGCTGTGCCTGGCAGTTATCCCGAGGTGCTGATAGTTGACAATTCCCCTGGACATTCTTCATGCACAGGCAGATATAGCCAAGGTATGCTTCGCTCATGCGCGAGAGTGAGTTTGCGCTGGCACCAGCTGGCCACAGCCCGTGTTCCTTGACTGGCTTGTGGTTGGGCACCCGGACTGTAGACTTCTAGTGTAGAAATTATATCAATTCCCGGGTTGATTTACAGATACTGGCCGACATCTGCATAAGTATAAGGCGTATTAAGGTGTCTAGAGTCCGGAGACCGCTGCCGCCTGTTCAGAAGCTTCTGTCAGAAAGCATTTTCAACGGACAGAAAGAGTGACCAACCAGGCTCTTTACGATTGTATGAGTTGGCAGCTCAGATTCTTTTCTTCTGTGCTGTGCAATGGCTTGCTTGAAGACTTTAGGCCGCTGTGTCAGGATTATGTCCTTCTGCACAATCCCAGTGATCCTCTCTGACGAGAAGCTGTTGCCCTTCTCCGAAATCCTGAACTGGTCAGAGCTGGGCCCCCGGTTGTCTTCAAGAATTGTCGAAGCTGAGCGTCCATGCAGGGCCCTCGTGAAAAGGAAATCCCGTTTTGGGAATCCGCATGTGCAGACGCATCCATCCCTACATTCCTTTGCGCACTTCACAGTTTTCGTTCATAGGGTTCGTAGGCACACGCATCTGGCAAGGGCCCATGACCAGTGGCTGAGGATGGCTGTCGTACTGCCAGAGCGGGTAGCTCGGCATGGGACTAGGATGCAGGATGGGCTAAAGGATAGCTCCAGGTAGCCCTGGTTTCTCCGTTGTAGCCCCAAGCTTTTGACTTCACCGAGATCCTCTTCACCAGGCAGAGTTCTTCCAGATTGTTGACGTAAGCGGATATCTAGGTACTTGATGGGCAGTCCAGATTTGTGAGTCAGATGAGTCAGGCGGCTGCAACAGTGCCGAAAGTCCTCCGTGGGATGGACCATGATCAAAGATGCAGCTGGGCTGCTATGCCAGAGACTTTTCCGTAAATGAATTCCAGACTCCGTTAGTTGATGACTAGCTGCATCATCCACCAGTTGTGCCAAGCATATGGGACATTCTGCTGAGTGGCCCCTTCAGTGTGCTGAAGCCAAGCGCATGCGGGGACATGCCTTGTTGCTCCACCCCACAAGTCCAAGTCGCGCCTTTCTGCTTAGCACGGCCAAGGCAAAATGCGGAAGCGAGCCTATGAGGTTCCCTGAGAGAGCTGGAGCCGGAACCCTGAAATTGACTGACGGACACAATCCCACAGATCACAATCAGAGCCCTCGCAGTAGAAATTCCATGTCCATCACTCCAGTTGGAGAGTTCTGGGGGGTGACTGACCCCAAGCTGTTCTTTCCGGAGGTGTTCCACTCCTACTTTGCGAATGCTTGCGCCTGAGTTCCAGAACTGCTTGCAGGTCAGCAGTGCGCAGGAACAAAAGATGACTGAACGCCCATACTCAAGCAGGACAATCAACGGCCAAATTCTTGGGGGCATGCTGCTGGACCTTCTTGAACCCCAACCCCTAAAATCCAAGCCTCAACACCCTCAAGCTCGTCACTGGCCCTATGTATTGATGCGCTGGGTAACCCGCCATGAGATGGCTAGCGAATCCTTTGCCAAACTCCCCACCAAAACTCCCATTATCTGAGATTATATTATACTTTACTATAACCTTGTAAAATCTACCATCATATACTATGGTAAGTTAGAATTTACAATAATATTACAACACCCAGCCCTCCGTGGACTGATTCATTTTTGCTGCAAACTGCATTGTGGGATACCCTTAAACCCTAAACCCTGAATCCTAAACCCTTAAACCCTATACCCCTAAACTCTAAACCCTTAAACCCTTAAACCCTATACCCCTACACTCGAAACCCTTAAACCCCTAAACCCTAAAACCCAATGGGTTGAAGCCTAGGTCTCCGCGAACGTACATGGACTGTTGGAAGTCCTGACCCTATACTCAAAGGAAGGCATGGGCTTGACAAATGCACTTCAATTTGGGGTTTAGGGTTTATGGGTTTAGGGTTTGAGGGTTTTAGGAGGGTTTAGGGTTTAGGGTTTATGGGTTTAGGGTTTGAGGGTTTTAGGAGGGTTTAGGGTTTATGGGTTTGAGGGTTTTAGGAGGGTTTAGGGTTTGAGGGTTTTAGGAGGGTTGAGGGTTTAGGCCATGTTAGGGGGAAGGTGATTGTGGGATTTCTTTCCTGAAGCCTTTTATCTCCCCTGCGAGAAGAACAACACGTCTGCCTTGGTGAAGGTCTCAGGGCCAACGAGGATTCCCGGAAGTTGGCATCAGACTTCCGGGAGCAAGCTTCTGGTTTGATTTGGTCACCGCATGCCATGGAGGAGTGGGGTTATACTTGGTAACATCGGGAAATTGGGCAGGGTTCTGGATGTTTTTTGCTATTTGTTGTTGTACCGCAAAGCATTCTTAGCCGTGTGCCCACGAAACCAGCACATCCACACTGTGCTTCGCAGCTTTTGGAAGGTTCAGGATGTGTCCCTTATAAGTCTGCAATGTAAAGAAGTATAACTTCTGAAGCATAGGCTTCTTCAATGACTTTTTCGAGTAATACTGCCACATATAGCTATCTAATCGTTGACATTGGCTAGTACCAAGCACCGCGGTGAGGACATTCGAAGACATAGACATGCGCTACACTGGCTACCAGCCGTGCCAGCAAGCCTTCCTACCGTTTGCTCCTTAGATTCTGATGGCCGGAAGCTAGCTTTGGCCAATGCAACCATCTGAAATCTCCTGTGCTCAGGAAGGTGATTGCCTGATCTCCTGGAGAGAGGCTCTGCTGAAAGGATGTCCCATGGGTCCAGCAGATTCGCCATCATTCGGGCGCACGAGGTCTTCTACAGATTAGACCAACGTTGTACATGCAGTCAGGCTTCGTCTTGGAACTGCGGCGGAAACTCTTTCGTTGTTGCTGAAGGTCCATACGTTGCCTTTGTTGTTTCCGCATCAAGAACTAGTACTGGTAGCAGCCATAGCATGTTGCCGACTCCAGCATCTAGCCTGGCCGTAACAACATCCGTCACATTGCAATATATGCTCGACGAATGCGCGTACCTACGTGACAAACAGTGATAGCCCCCCTAGCTCCGCAGCATTGCCTTCTTTGGGTAGACGGGATAAGAGTTTGGGTGAGTGGTCGCTATTTGCGTATCTGAATTTCAGCAGCCAAGCCTTCAGGGGCGCTTGTACATTCCAGGAGGTGACGGCATACTCAGACGCTGCGCACTCAGAGAGCTGCTCAGCTGGTACTGCTGTTCCGCACCCCCTGCAGTCCGACCCACTCTGATCCCATTGACTCTTGTACTTGATCTTGATAGAATTTTCTCAGAGACTGTCGGCAAAAAAGACCATGACCCAGCGGATCCCAGCGGCATCACTTGAGCTCGCACTCCACCTTGATTAGAAAGAGGCACACAGCAGGCGCGTGTCATCCGAGTAAAAATAAGAGATGTGACTAAATTTCTCCTTACTCACTTCCGCACTCACTCCCCGGCCCAACTAAGAAAGACCGTAGCACTTCCACGAAGGCATGGCGGCGCTGGCAACATGGGCGCTTGCTGCTGTGGACATTGGTGGCCGCCCCTCCCTGCAGCAGCTCAAAAGCCTTGGACTCCAGGCCTTGCTCATGGGAATATAAGGATATATCTACCCATACTTTTGGGGGGACCTAAGGAGCTAGGGATAGTCTATATCAATATAATAAGGGGAGCTAAAGAGCCCAGGAATCTCCAAAATCATAGGGGAGATATGATAGCAAATGGAAAGGAACACACCAAGTACTATATTTTCATGGGTGTAGATATGTATAAATGGGAGTTATCTGTAGAGGAAATATAATCCGATGTTGGCTTTCCTGCTGGTTATGGATTTGTGCATAGGGTTGCAAGCACGTATTTCTGTAGGTTTTTTGTGGAGGTGCTCCGTTCTCGGGTGGCAATTCATCTCGTACATTAGGGCAGCCCCGAGTCCATTCCCTACTTAGCATAAACGCCCTTTGTATACCCCATTACAATACGGTAGTTTCCATGTTCTTTTCATTCTTATTTTCATTCTTTTCCATTGCCCCTATATAAGCCCGACAATATCCCGATGTATTTATATATCGAAGCATATACATATGTATCTATCCTAAAAATACCTATTATATTGTAGTAGCTTCCATTTCTTATTTCTCCATGATCCATATGAGCAGTTAAAATAATAGGCGCTCGAGTAACGTTAATTAGATGCGGAAATAACGTCGGAAAGCGGCTGGCGACAATTTCCGAAAAGTGGTTCCCACTCTGCGCGCGGAAGATCGCGGAAGCTTTCGCGGAAGCACTTCGCTTGCGGAAGCTCTTGCGGAAGCTCTTTTTCCATCCTCCGAATCCCGAGCACAGGCTTCTATGGAGATTGAAGATTAGGAAATATTACGAATTTC